TCCTGCCTTTCTTCCAGGGTGTGTCGCGGAGTGCGCTCCTGGCGTCCACAGGTCAGCTTTCAGACCAAGAATCCATTTGCACCCTGCTGAAGTCCCACTGTATTGAACCACACTGACACAGTCCTTAGTGGTCAAATATATACAGTGATTGTATTTGCAAGTTCACAGCTCACACGGACACAATGCTTCGCCAGGCAATCAACATAAGAACAAGCACACAGTGTACATACTACACACAGCTATATACATGGAACAGCCAATCAGATTGTTGCTGAGTCACTCTGATAGCAGATCAGCATTACACCAGCCAGAACCAGTTTGGTCTGGTTACCTGGACTGACAGTCACTCTGACACCTGTCACATAGATTGGCATGATCTTGTACACATCACACATGCTGAATACTTATTGCACTTCAACAGGGACCCCGTATATATCAACTCGTAACCAACCCATCTCCAACCCATCCCTAGGAATGATTTAGAAAGTTTGGACCCAACCATCCTCAGCAGCTGTGGTCATCATCTTGCAGCCTACTGGTGGTACCAAGCTCTCAAGTCACATGTTTGGCATCCACCAGGGTGAGGACGTTTTCCATTGTAGCCCTGTCCTGGTGGAATGCCCTCTTAGCTGAGACCTGGGCCCTGCAAGACCTCTCTGGGGTTGCGCAGGACCTTTAAGGCTGAGCTTTTCTGTTAGGCCTTCCCTGGTCAAGCGTATTTCGGGGGCTTATTTATTTATTCTTTAGATTTATGTATCACCCAATCCGTGAGTACACAGAGCTCTGTGAGATTTACATCAGTAAAAAGATACATAAATATGGCCCTGTTCACACGTAGAATTTGTGGCAGGAGAGGCACAAATGTCGAGCGGAGCATACGGGCGCGATCACAAGGACACATCTGGCAAGCGTAGCATACCCATCGCCGACCCGTAGCATCCGCCTGAAGATCCGGAGTTAAAAAATACCCGAGAAAGCCTACTAGCAAACGGTTTGCTACGGGCCGTCGACAGAATACCTACGTATGATCGCTCAATCATGCTCCTCTTGCTGTGTTGATGCCCGCCGGAAACACACACCAACAAACAAAACCCTAATTTGCTGCGGCGGCATTTGATCGCATTCTGGCACGTTAAATTGCACCGGCGTGAAAAGCCACGCCTCCCTTCCTGCATTATCTGGCCCATGTGACTGGGGCCTGTGTTTGGTTTGGCATGTCACAAATTGTGCATCCCTGTCTTAGTTGGTGTTCTAACAATGTGACCAGAGAGACTAAAAGAATGTCTTTATAGCCTCTTTGGTATATCAGGAAGGGGAGGGGGAGTGAGAGAAGGGGGGGAAGGAAGAGGAAGGTGCTAGCGATGTTATTGTCCATCGCTGCCCTCAACCAAAAGCTTTGCAAAATTTCATTAAGTCCCGCAGGGCCCTGCTGTTGTTTGGAAGAGAGTTCCACCAAATTGGAGCCAGAGCTGAGAAGGCCCCGGCTCTGGTTGAGAACAGTCGGATATCTTTGGGGCCAGGTATCACCAGCAGATTGTTTTCAGC